CAACAGGTTCTCGCTGACATTCCAGATCGCTTGTCCGGTTTCAGTGCCACAAGCTATTCTTGATCGCCATTTGGACATCGTGTGCCTTTCCAAGTGAAGAAGTATTGGTGCAATGGTCCCGGATGCCTCGATCCTTGGCTACATGGGAGCTGCTGGTTCCTCTGCAGCAAGGCGTTTTCAAGAGCGCCGCCCGGCTTGGGGTCATGCCGGCTCTAAAGGAGAGGGGATTGTCGTACGTCTTCTACAATGCCCGATGTCTCACTCGATGAAGCATCCACAAGTAAGCGAGGCCAGGCCCGTTACGAAGGCCCGCCCAACGTTAGGCTAATCGGCCCGAAATGGAAGGCATAGGCATAGAAGTATAAATACTTGAGTGAGCAAGGATGAGAGGGGGAGGAGGAAATATGCCGTAGTTATTTTCTTTCCAAGCACTTTACTGTTAATTCACATACATTCAGTTCAGTATTCCAGTCGAATATTCCTATCTTATTCTTCTTCCTGAGCAAGGAACTTCCCCGTGCTCACAATGACCGTCTCTGTCTATATTGAATTTCAGAAGAAGAAAAAAACTTTGTAGAGTCTACTGCATAGTTTTTACGGCGGCGTGGCGAGGCGCGGCGACCCACCACCTTCACACCTTTACAGCGTCTATGGCGCGCGGCGTGGCGACGCCATACACACATCGGCGTGGCGAATACATACATTATAGTCTAGGATATTAGGAAATTATATTGACAAATGGTAATGCAAATGTAGCTTAAAAGGTATAGTCTACAATATTAGCAAATCAAAATAGCAATGTAAATATAGCACAAAAGACATAGAACTCTCTCATCTCTCAAACTTCCAAATCTCTCATCTCTCAAAAGTCATCCAATGCAAACTCATCGAGGCCTCCGCGCTTCCAGTCCCTTGAGTAGCCATGTTCTGCAAAAAAAAAAAGGAAACATACGTTCTTGAGTCTTGACCAATCAAATCAAGACCTTCACTACTTCAGCATAACAGGTCTGTTCTCTGTTCTTGAGCAAAGTGCATAACAGAGTAGAGACTAGAGAGCTTCACTACTTCACCAAATCACCACTTCACTACTCGCTTGTGCAGCAAACTAGAGACTAGAGAGCTTCAACGGTCAGCACGCTACTTCACCAGACCAGAATAGTGGAACACTAGCCAATGCTTAACGAGACCACTTCACCGATGAGGCGATGACCGATCAGCAGCTCAGCACTTCAACTCACCAGAACAGAGTAGAGACGAGAGAGAGAGAGAGAGAGAGAGAGAGAGAGTACCTGGCGGGCGCTGAAGCTTGAGGGCCGGCGGCTCGGGAGATCCAGGCGGGGGCGGCCGGCTCGGGCTCGGGCGAGGCCGACAGAGGGCGGGGGAGGCCAACGGAGGGCGGGGGAGGCCGACGGAGGGCGAAGCGGAAGGATTTCCAGGTGGGGGCGGGCGGAGGGCGACCGTCCCGGCGGCCGACAGCGGCGGCGGCTCGGAGGGCTGCTTGCGGTTGCGTCTCGGGCTCAGTCTCGGAGGGCTCCAATCGGCCACTCGGCCTATACAGGTACCCTCACGGCCTCACCACGGCGCTATGGCGGACGCCATACACGTCAGAGTCGTGGCGTCGCCGTGGCGAGAGCCAGAAAAACGCCACGGCGATATGGCGACGATATGGCGTCGGTATAGCGACACCTTAACAACTATGGTCTATTGTCTACGCGATCAACAAAATGCCAAAATTTGTTCTGTATTTTCTCCCCCAAATCACTATTGATGAGAGAGAACAAAAACCACACCTTTTCCTCTTGAGAAAATGGCATACAACAGGTCAAAAGTAATCTATGCATGGAATCATTTGTTTTTTTTTTATTAAATGCTAACTGGATCAGTATTTACGGCAGGGCTGCTGTACCAGAGATTTTTAGGCCCTGGAGCAAATCAAGAAATGGGGGCCTATACTAGTGAAATACAAATAATCGATACATATATTTGGATTCCAATATATAAGTAACAAGTACATGTTTTTTTGCAATACTAAGAACTGTATTACTGAAATATGAAATTAGGCACTTATGTTATAGGATTGAAGGGCGAACATTACATACCGATCATTGGTCTGGTTTTCTTCGAAATGCAGTCTTCATATTTAATCTTCTCTAGAACATCATCTTCAAGTGCAATTGTTGCCAACCCAGTGAGTCTTTCTTGTGTCATTGTACTAATCATGTAGGACTTTAATAACTTCAATTTTGAAAAGCTCCGCTCTGCAGATGCAATTGTCATGAGAATAGTTAATAAAATTTTGTATGCAATTTGGGCATTAGGGAACAGCCCATCCGTTTCACAAACTTCAGAATGTCAAGAGAGCCCATGTCTAGCTTAGGGATGAAATCTTGGAGGAACTTTAACACCAAATGTAATTCTTTGCCATCAATATCAGAATGTTCACCACTCTTAAGTGCTGCCCCAAGACGAGCACAAGAGGATAACGAACTCTTGTCATGTAAGGAGCACAATTTATGTGAAGTAAACAAAAAAAAAGTCTTTTCATACCCCTGGTATTGCTCAAACCTCCTAGTCAGTGAAGCAATTGCTTGATCAACAATGGGCAAAAAATAATTGTGTCTAATCAATTCCTCTTCGGACTGTGAAGCAATAGATGCATCATCAGGGGTCTCATGAAATTATCTTTTTCCTTTTGATTCTACACTTGGTACGAAATGCTGGCTCAATATCCATCTCGTGTGCTATTTCTTTTGCAGATTCTAATGCTTTTCAAAAAACCAGTTTCTCTGTACTTACTGAAGAAGGAAATCGCCCCTGCACTTTCTCAATTGCAATACCAATAAGCACGTCCTTTGCTTGTAACTGTTTGCTGACCAAGTTAATAACAGTCCTGAAGTGTGGGCCTCAACATTGTTAGGATCAATTGCAGCTGAATCATGTTCTGGAGTGTGAGCCTCAACATTGTTTGTGTTATCACCATGATTCCCATTACTGTCTTCCTGAGTTTGATTTTCCATACTTAGTTTGACGTTCTTTAACAACAAATCTATCAAGTGCACCCTTCTAAGCCTGAGCAGTAAGATCTAGTCTTTGTTTCTTATGCTTTTCACAACTGGAATCATATTTTCTAACTTTGGGATCATATTTTCTAACTCTAGAAGACATCATAAATAAAACGATCTCCATGTTTCATGAATCACAAACAAAACAGGACAAATAAAAAGGGTCTTGCATACTATATTATGTGCGACTGTGCGATGTGATGAGTTCAGAGTTCTCACTGACCTACTTTCACCGTCGATGATCAGATGTGCAATCTGCTATCTCCATCTGCACACCGCTCGGCTGCCTCACTTGCCGCACAGCCTACACCGTCGAGCTGTAACGACACAAAGGTGATTAAATAATCAAACGATAATTGATTAGAAGGAGAGTAACAGACGCAAAGCAATGTTATCAAAAAAAAAAGACGCAAAGCAAGCTGCACTTACTTGGAGAGACAGAGTGTCAGAGACGGTCCAACACTCCCCAACGGAGTAGCCGCTGCAGGCTGCAGCGCTGCTCAGCTGGAGCCGCCTGCCCGGCTGCCCCTGATGAGGCCCTGACCTTGCAGTATGCCAGTCTCGAAGGAGGATTGGGATCCCCGACGAATGGGGGCGAAGCCATAGGAATCGCTGAACCGGGTCTTGCCGCCGTCAGCCGTCGTCTCTGCCGCGTGCCGGCGGCGTGCATGACGCTGTGACCGCGTCGATTCAGCTTGTGGATCGTGAATTCACGATGCACGCCGGCGGTGCCTGTTCCGCTTCCATGGATATAGATGGGCCAGTACATACGATAGGCCGAGTGAAAGCCCAATAGAGGGGTGAGGGGGGGGGGCTGATTTTTTAGAGGCCGGCTCGGTCGCTCCAGTTGCCTTGCACAATGTACGGGCCTGATTTACGGCAGCCGAGAACCAAGCATTATTTTTTTTTTATCGGAGAACCAAGCATTCTTGAGTGTGGTTAAAAAAGATGGTTATTTATATATATATAGTACTACCTACCGTCAGGGATCAAATCTCATACATTTGACATATATATACACACAGGAAAGCGTACGTGGATGTGAACTTCTACATTTGTATTGTGTTTCGTATGGAGAAGCTCTTACGGTAACCAAAATCAGTATCTAATGTAACTTAGTCAAAAAAAAAATGTAACGTATTTTTTAAGACCATGCCTTTAAGGATCATTTGGTAGCCTGAATTAGTCTTGATTCTCTCGAGAATCAAGAGAAACAACACCAAATGGGATAGCAACGAAACGTTTCAGCCCAAAAATATCCTCCCCCCCCCTGGCCACCTGAATCGGTTGGAATTTTGAAGGTGGTTAATTTTGTTATGATTCACTTCCGATTCCTCTGTCCCTCTTATATGCTAGAAATTGTATTTTTTTCTGTTATAACCTTTTTTATACAACAAATTGAAATATATTGTATTTAAGTTGTTCTCTGCGAAAACTTTAAATTTTTAAAGTACATTTTTATTTAAATGATTATTGTAAAAGATATATTTGCTTCTTATAAATTGAATTCTAGTCTAACTAAATGGTTTTACAAAATAACCCTAATTCATTACTCGAAACGTTTTTGAAAAAATCTGAACCCAAAACGTTTCAGGATCATACGCGACTCGCGACCGAAATGGCAAGATTCTGTAGTTTTGGCCCCCAATTCCCGTGACGAGAGAGAAGAAAACCACACCTTTTCGTTTTGATGAGAAAATAGCATAAATAAAATAGGCCCAAAAAAAAAAGGAAAGAGAGAGATATTTCTTGCATGCAGTCGTAAGAACCAGTGGCTCTGCGCATTCTACCTTCCGCACACTCCATTCCAACCAGCAAACAAACAAACAAAAACGAAACAGCAACGAAGATCACACGAGCTCCGCTCACTCGACGACGCACTCGCCAGTCCGATCCCGCGATCACACTAGTCGACTCGAGCGAGCGCGCTAACGATCAATGGCGGCCAAGGTGGCTTCGCCGCTCGCGTTCCGCCGCGACGTGCGTGGCCCGCTCGGCCGGCCTCCTCCGGGCGGCTGCCGGACCGGGACCGGGATGCCGGGGCTGCTGTACTGGAGCGGCGGCGCCGGCGGCAGCAGGGTGCTCGCGGCGCGGGCGCGCGGGAGGAACAGGTTCGGCGGCGGCGCCGGCGGGCGGGGCGCGACCAAGGACGAGGCGGCGGAGGAGGACGAGGAGGAGGTCGCCGATGTGGTGATCGTCGACGCAGGGGACGAGGAGGAGTTCGCCTCCGACGAGCTGTCCGGGTTCAGGGGCCTGGTTCTTGATCTCTCTTACAGGTGAGATCACAATCACATGTAGGAGTAGCAGCATCTGGGACCACGTATCAGAGACATGCGGATCTCATATACTTCAGTTTCAGCACACAAAGAAACTTTAAAAGGCTTACAAAACATTTAAAGTTTTCACTTATCATAGGTAGAGAATCAGATCAGAATTGTGGAATGTTTTGCACATGTATCAAGCAGCAACATGCATGGTTTAACATTACTTGCAGAGTTACAGTTTTTGAACTGGTGGTCAGTTGCATACTAACCTTGAGCCTCTGAGGGCCTTCTTCTTGTTCCAGTATCACTAATAGCTATACTGATGTACAGCCCAGCATTTTTATTTGCCCCTATTTTCGAGTATGATCAATCACAGAAATTTTGCATGCAATTTATGTTTCCACAAGGCACTTTTGTCATCAGATTCGATGCGCTTACTGGAATTTGATCCTCAAGTCAAGTGTGCTGAACTGCAACTGTACTCTGCATTCAGGCCTGTCAATGTCGTGTGCTGGAAGCGCGCCATCTGCCTGGAATTCATTGGGAAGGTTAGCATACCTGATACCAACCAAAGGCTTTCATCTTTCTTTGGAGTTCGTCAGCTGTGAGCAGTGAGCTGTGCTAATGAAACTCTGAAGTTGCTTGCATTTTTCAACACGTAATGTGATGATCGTTTTAGCTATGCAGGCCGATGTGTTGGAGTACTATGATCAGACCGTCTCTTCGCCTAGCGGATCCTTCTACATTCCTGCAGTTTTAAGGGTACATATGTGACATATATATTGGATTCTCTTTGTTGAGTTATTACAGTATTGAAGTGGCATCATCTTTCTCACTGTGCTGTTCCTCCTCTAGTGTTGTTCAGGTTCCACAGTTGCTGCAGGTAGTAAAGAGAAGAAGAGTCAAGCAGAGCCTCAGCCGTAAAAACATTCTTTAGAGGGATGATTTCACCTGTCAGTAAGTACTGCATTACTTACTGCTCAAGTTTTAATTTGAATTGTCTTTGTTTCTCTTGGCATGTTTGAAAAATCCTCTTTTTTTTCCTCATATTTTTATGGAGAGACTAGGTTATTGTTCTTACAGTTCTCATTTTTCATGACCTGCAGATATTGTTCTTCTGGGGACAACTTGACAATTGACCATGTTATTCCGATTTCGCGTGGCGGTAAATGGGAATGGGAGAATTTGGTACGCAGTTCTAGTGCTTCTACTCATTTTATATTCCATCTACTCATTTTGTAAACTGGGTGTTCCGAGTCTGTTAGTCTTAGCTATGTCCATCTTTAAATTGAATTTGTGCAGGTGACTGCCTGTGCAAGATGCAACTCCAGGAAGGGTCAGAAGACACTAGAGCAGGCAAACATGAAGCTGCGCAAGATCCCCAGGGTATGTTATGTGGCAGTTTCTGTCTTCTTGACTGAATCCTGATTGCTGCAACAAGGTTGTTTCTGATCAGGAGCAATCACACGGTTATTGCTGAATTGCACTGCAGGCGCCCAAGGAGTACGATATAATGGTTGTGCCCTTGACAAAATCTGTATTCAGAACGCTCAAGAGGAACCATGGCCTCCCTGAAGTGTGGCTGCAGTACCTTTCCAGTCCATCTCCATGACCAAGAGCCTCCTGATCCTACGGGCCAGCAATATCAGTGTATATTAATATTATACTATGCTGCGCACAGCCAAATACTGCAGATCCTATCATACTGACTCTGCAGATCCTATCATACTGACTCTGAAATACATGCCCATTCTGTTCAAAGTTCTGTACATGGAAATAGTATCAGGGAAGAAATAAGAATTGCTGTAATAAGCTGGTGCAGAAACCAGCCAAACAACTCAAATCTAAAACAGTGACAATAGTACGTGGTGCATTTATCCGTAGGTGCACATTCACATGGAAATTTGCGAAGCATTTAGCTCAGTACACCCCATATAAAAAAAATTTACATGCAGGTCACATAAATATAGATCTTCTCAACATAGTACTTAGGATCACAACAGAAAGTAGACGGCTGCAGAAAGTTTGAAAGCAAGACATTCGCTGTTCACATATAAACAGATAATGCACTGTGGAAATAACGTTTGTAAATGCTTGATTGAATTCCCATGTTCATTTCAGGTTCTTAAACCAGCCAACATTAAATAAACACAACACTTGTCCAGAATCTAGAGAGGGAGGAACTAGAATTTAGAGAGAGAGACAAAAAGAGGCAAATAAATGAAAATACACCCTCAAACCCATGATCCATCCATCATTGGAAAACCCAGTTAATCATCCTTCTATTCCTAAATACCTGACATGCCAGAACACATACCATACCTATCACCAAACACAAGCAACTAGCTAATCCTCTAGCTCCTATGAACTATAGGAAACAGGGACAAGAAACGAGCTTAATGGGATCTCAGAATTTCCTCAAAACAACCCACAGCCTTAGGTTCCACCCCCATACCACTGTCAATGGCTGAGCTAATGAAAAAAAATTAATAACCATTTGGACCAGCCAACTTGTCAGTTGGTGATTTCAGGTCCTGTGGGGTGACATCGTTTCCTTTCTCGCCATTTTTCTCTCCTGCTTTGTCTAATGAAAGCTCTTTGTTCAAGACGTCAGCCTCAGCCTCAGTGAGTTCCATTGATCCAGTCTCTCCTTTGAGACTTTTCTCTGTGCCAGTGGCATTAGGCAGCTTCACATCGATGACCTGAAGTAGCATTCGCTAGTGTCAGCTAGAACAATTATATTCGAGTTATAATTGATCAATCCATTTTAAAAATGAACTAATCAGTAATATGTATTGAAAGTTACTATTTTCATATCACAAGAAAGCAAGATAACTTGTATGCTCGTATACGTACTCTTAGTAGCACATATGCAATTGAATAGTATGTCAACAACGCAAATGAGCTTGTGCAGTTACATGAAATTTATAGTAAGATTCTCTCAGAATGCAATTTCAGAAAAAAAAACTACAATCAAAGCAGGACAATATACTCCATACCTTTTTCAGTGACTGCTGCTGCTTTGCTTTCCTCTCTTGCATCAACTTCTCACGATTATCGTAAAAGCCAAAGTCATCCAGTATGGATGTCTTGCAGACATGATCCTTGAAAATCTTGAGCACTTGAAAGCCTTGCTCAAGCTTCACCTGTGACCAACAGAAAACATACATAGAACTCAATATGCCATTCAATCAAATAGTTAAACATGTAAATGTAAATAAGAAGCATCAATCATGTCATTGCAGTGTAGTGCTAATAGTCCAATATGTAAGAAGCATCAACATGTAAATAGCGGTTGTCCTACACCGGTTCTATGATGATCTTATGGCACTGTGCTCCACTGTATGATAAGCCACAGATTGGGGTATGAAAACAAAACAATTGGTCACCTCATGTGTATCTCTGCTGTTTGTGACTGGCTTGTTTTCATTGTTCTCGAGAATGATGTGCTTCAGCAAGCTGTTTGGAACATCCTTCACAATGTGCCACTTGACAGGGAAACAACCAGTCCACTTGTCCTGTTGCCAATGCTCTACTGTTTTGTTAAAATCAACACGACCAACCATCTCAGCAAGGCCAACAAACTGGCCACTTGCATTCACCTTCAAAAAGAGAATATATTACCAGCATAAGGCCATAAGCATGGTGAATGATTTCAAATTGAGGAGCATCAATAATAATCATAATGAACAAACACAAAACTTACAGAGAATAGAAGGAAAACAGGAGTTTCGCTTGATTTCTCTTTAGCCTCTTGGTAGGCAGCATCAAGTTTCTTATTGCCATTGGGAGTGCTAGCCCACACATTGTACTTAACACTCTTGTGAACGTCATCTTCACTATATGATTTAATAATGAAGAATTTAGCGTCTGAGTATGTTTCTGCAAAGTCAGCCTGATTATATTGGGACTTAAAAGCTTTGTTGTTGTTCATGGCAGGATGTGAACCATTAGCAGACAAAGTGTCCTGCTCTTTTGCTGGTACTTCAGTAGTAGCTCCAAGCCCCAGCTGGTTTTTGTACATACCACTTCTTGGTCCTCTTTTCAGCTCATTGAAGCCATCTAGGCTTCCATTTCCATAAACATAATACCCATTATTACCTCTTCCTCTGGTTCTGTACTTTCCATCATACAGTGAATTCCACCCACCATATAACCCAGAACTATACATGTGTGATCCATACCACAGGCCAGCTCCATAGCTCCCATCATACCCATATATTCCATTAGCTGAGTAAACTGATGGGGAGGTTGGTGTTTGCAGACCCTTCATCAAGAAAAAAAATATCATGGTTAGAAAGGCGAAAAGTCCAATACAGTAAATCCTCACACGGTTGCTTGGGGTGGGGAACCACAACAACAGAACCTAAATGTGACTTCATGCAATGCCAGCCCCACAGTGATAACTAAACCCTCAATGCACTTATTTTGGGATGAAGGGCGAGAATTTTCCACCCCAAAAAATAAACAGGTCCTTTACCAAGCAACAGTGAAGCTCATGAGTAAGATCTAACAAGAAATATACCAACAAACATTTGAACCAAACTAAAAGTCAAGCATATGGCACAACAAGAACTCAATCCTGGATGGACTTAACTAAAACAATTGAGTAAACATCAAGAGCAGAAAGGCTTACCATGAGATGAGGATACTGCCTCGTGTTTTGATTCCTCAACTGCCCCTTGGTTTTAGCATTGGAAGCAGTCGAATTGCAGTTGCTGGTGAACTTTTGCTGCTTGTCGGAGAACATCTCACTGCTGTAATATGGATAGTGTGACCAACTAGTCTGGTTCTGATAGCTACCAGAATGCACACTAGACCGGCCATACGAACCATTGGAACTTGGCGGATTCCGGTCTGCCTTCTGGGTTGAGTTTGAATTTTTCAGACCTTTCACCTCATCGACACCAACAGTGGAGACATCCCCTTGCGGCGCTGCAGCCAATTTCTCACTTTTACCATTGGACGACAGCTTGGCAGTCGAATTCTGTTGCTTGTTGTATGTCGATGGGTACTGGTAATCATAATTCTGAGACCCATAAATCTGACCATCAGACCCCAAGGTTGCAACACCATAGGGAGTGTAGCCATAGTGCATGTCAGCATAGGCACCCTGAACCATACAAGAATAAAGAATTATTATCAGTCAATAAAACACACACACTCAAGACACATGAAAATCATGAAGACCATTTAGTACCAATACATTTTTATGCCCAAATAATGAGGATGAGAACAATTATTCGATTGAATACAACCTCAAAGATGAAACAAACTAAAATAAGGAGAACAATATATATCAAACAGAGAAGAATCACTCACAGCAGTTGGTGACTGTGCTCCATCATGGCTCACGTATGTGGAGTACTCCCCCCAGCCACCATAGGCTGCAGATTGTAAAAAACCAAGAACTTTGAATAAACCGCTGGCACAAATTCAAGCACCGAACACTCAGAACCGAGCCGAACAGACCATTACCTCCATAGGCATAAGCCGGGTAGGCACCATAGTACATGCTAGCATCCTTGTAATCCTGCGCCTGCAGGTTGTCCACCCCGGGCTGAAAGCTCCCTACGGCGGCGGCAGCGGCCACGCCCTTGGCCGGAGCAGGGTCCTTGCAATCCTGCACATGTAGACTCTCCATCGCCGGCTGGAGGCTCTCTACCGCGGCCACCACGTCGGCCTTGGCCGGAGGCGCGTCCTTGTAGTCCCCCTGCACATGTAGAGCCTCCATCCCCGGCTGCAGGCTCCCCACAGCCGCCATGACGCCCTTGGCCGGAGCCTGAAACGATTGCAACAGCATACATGGCGTCAAACCATCCAGCGCAGGTGCGGATCTAGTAAAGTCGACGTCTTTTCGCGAAAAGCTAGGGGTTTAGTGGACATCGAACAGCCAGATAGCATGAGGTTAGAGTTTGGGAACTCGGTTTCGCGCAGCATACAGGGGAGCGGAGGGGGTGGGGGATACCTGGTGGGCGCTCTTCGCCGGCGAAGAGATCGGCCGCGGCGGCGGTGCGGCGGTAGCACACGCAGTCGTCGCAGACAGAGGGGGGGAGAGCGCGAACGGACGGCGGCTGGACTCTGGGAGGGAGGAGATGAGGCGGACCGGTGGCTGTTAGGGTTACTTCGCAGTATATATTTCTTCCTCCTGGTTGGTTGGAGTTGGGCCTTTAACGGGCCTTCTCCTTTCAAGCTGAGACGCGCCTGTAGCCCTGTACGCATGTCACGGGTTAACGGGCCTTCTCTGTTGTCATGACTTTTTTAGTTTCTTTTTTCCCTCTCTTTTATTTACTTTTTATTCTTTTTATTTCCTATTTATCTTCTCCGCGGCACACCATCAATGTCCACTGAAATATTTTTGGTTTCAAATAAGTGAAAATAATAATATTCTTTCCGTTCCAAATTATAAGGATGCATGGCAAAATGAATGTACCAAAAAAGTCAAAGCGACTTATAATTTGGAACGTAGAGAGTATTTATTAATCCATTGCAAATAAACAAATGGAATATATTTATATTTCATTAAGGACAAGCAGAGTTTTTTTTAATTTGAAACCTTTTTTACTCAAACATAGAACAATTTTATGAACAAACACTCTGCACGCCGGCGAGCACTCTTCGGGTTTAGGAGGGAGCTTGCGGGTGTTCGGCAGTCTTAGAAAGGAGTTTTGGGATGTCAGGTTGGCCCAGTGAAGGAGGCGAGCGTTGTTGATGGTCTTAGAAAGGAGGTGAGTAAGCTATCGGGGATGGGCGGAGGAGGGCGGTAGGCGGGTGGAGAGCGTGCGTGCGGGAGAAAAATTGAGGTAAGAGAAAGAAAAGAAGCATAAGTAGTAGTATGTAGATAGTTGGATTAAGGTTTAATGGGTACTGTTCATCAACGGCAAAAAAATCAAGCATCTGAAAAAATAAAAAGCTCCCTTTCAAGAATTCAAACACCAACAATAAAATTTAATTTGTTTTCCCTGTTGTATCATACCTGATGGATGCTTGTCGAGCACCGCCAACCTTGATGGGCACCTCTCTTGTTTGCTAGCAGTTGGCCAAGCGTTGACTACTCAAACAATGATATTGCACTCTATTTTCTGGGAGCGTCCATTTTGCCCATTTGTGGAGGAAAAAAAATGAACACAACAGATGTGACTTCCATGCATCACTGGAGACAAATAAGGTACTCTATTTTCTCTCACAATCATCAGGTACTCAACTCAGGCCATGGAAACAAATACACCCTACAATATAGAATTTTCACATGGCACGAAAGGTAGTTTTTATAAAGACAGCCTGAAATATAGCCGGAGTGAAATGGTTAATCCAACGTTAGTAATACAAGTTCACCAAACTTCTGTCATGAAAATGGAACCTGCTGCAATGAATTTGGTTGCCTCCCACATGTTTGTGCTGCAGTACAATGCCATCAATTTGGATGATGGTGGGTGGTATACATTTTCTTATCATGTGGAAGTTGTGCAAGTAAAGCTGGAAGTTCAACTGGTTGGCATCCAAGGGAAATAAAAAGAACCTCCAAAAACATATTTTTGTGTATAATATTATCAATAACTTACAGTTTCTAAAGTAATAAATTTAAAAACCTACAACTATTTTAGGCACTTTATAGGAAACAACAACTTATGATGGCCATTGCAAAAACCCACAACACAGCGGCCCGGTCCGGTCGAGAGGAGTCACCGAGCTCATCGCAATTGGGCAGCCAGAGAGTGAGAAGGCCAGCAGAGCAGCCAACTGGGAGACATGGGTTGGGCTGGGCATCATTTCGATGGTACAGAAAGCCTAGTATGGTAGATGTGGAGGTGGAGTTTACACAATTGCTAGGATGCCCAACCCTGCCTGCTACCTCTAAGGCTCTTAGGGTAAAAAACGGATAGAAAATTTTCCACCCTGGCCTGCCTCTTTTTCTACATTTGACCTGTCCGATTTCGTATTTTTGGAAAAATCCGGAAATGGGACGGGTTAGTGGATGGGAGTTCGCGGAATCGAAACGGGAAAGGGATCGTGTTTTTTCTGCCTGAATTTGTGGAATCACATGGTCACTGTAGCATCACATGGGCTAAACATGGATTAATTAGGCTTAATGGATTCGTCTCGTGAGTTAGCCACAACTTATATAATTAATTTTATAATTAGCTCATATTTAATCCTCCTAATTGACATCTAAACATCCGATGTGACATGGACTAAAGCATAGTGCTGAGGATCCAAACACCCCTACGACAACCCCCGTAGTGCCATTTCGGGCTGAGGGAGCAGCCAAAAGTGGCCTATCAACACGGCTGCAAAAGTAGAAAAGGCAAAAACTCCCCTACCAAAACCTAGTTTCCCTTTCATAGTTTCTACTTCCTAGTGCTCATCACCCCTCCTACCATTCACTCTCCTTGCATTGCTCCCTTCCCACATGCCAACATGGTGCGTGCATTATATGTCATTGGTGGACTGTGCTCGTGCGAGGCGCTCAAGTATCCCTTGGTCGCTTGCATGTTGTCCTATGTTGTCGTCCCACCGGCTTGCAGTTACTACTCCGATCCCTCCGGGTGTAGCAGTGCCACTTAACTGGCCGTTCCTGGCGTCTCGTCAAGATTTATAAGTGTGATTGTGGGAGCCCCAACTCCCAAAAATCAATGTTGCGCCCTTAGATCTAGTCATGTCCTCTTTGTTGACGAATGGATCTTTTGTTGTGTGTTTTTATTGCCTTGGATGACCATATGCTGTGATGGGTGGTACGACAAGGTAAAGGCTTTGTTGTGTCGTTCCGTGCTCGGATTGTGGGGTAAGTTAATTGAACGGCATGGCACGACTCATCATCTATACGGTCATGCCTTATCAGGTCGTGTGCTTTAGAGAAATTTCGATATTTAGTATAATGCGTACAATTATAATGAATAAGGTCATGTTAGCGCTCGAACGTTCGGACGCACGCGCGTGTCCGGACGCCCGCGCACCCGCGTGCTGCTGTGCCTGCTGCCTTGCTACGCTTGCCCGCGTGTTTTGCAACCCATGCTTGCTGCTACTGTGTCTGCACATGCCGCTGTTGTGCCTGCTGGCTTGTTGCGCCCCGAGCGTGCTGCTGCTACTGCGCCTGCCCACGTGCTTCGTGCCCCACGCCTGCTGCTACTGCTGGGTCCGCGTGTGCTGATGTTGCGCCTGTACAAGAGAGCATGTGCGTGAGGCCTGTCCAGCTGCCTGCAAGAGAGAGGGTGGGAGCACAGCGCGCGTACCCGTGTTTGACCCGACTGCATGCTGCAACTTGGGGGCCACGCCTGGTGATGCAGGAGTGCCTGGTTTTGCGTCCATTTGGTGCTGGCCTGCTCTAGCGTTCAGCTTGCACTTTGACCAGGGAGTGCTTGGCCATTTAGGCACTAACCGCCCGTTGCGTGCACCTTCGACTATTGGAGCTGGCATGGCAGAGATAGACAACGCTGGCTGGGTGCGTGCAGCACGCACATGCCTGTTAGTCAGAGCGTGTGGGAGCAGCACTTGTTGCAACATACATCTGAAACAAGGAGAAACATTGCAAACATACCCTTACAACATATGTGTATATCCACTGCAACATACTAAAACAGAAGAAATATTTGGAACATACACTTGCAACATACGTGTATAGTCACTACAACATATGCAACATCCTGATGAAACAGCTGAAGCATTTGGAACACACACTTGCAACATGCTTATAAAAACAATTGAAATATTTAGAATATACACTTGCAATATACGCGTATAGCTATCGCAACATGTGTAACATCCCGGTCTACTGTTAAAACATCCAGATAAAACACATGCAACATCTACATGAAATACCTAAAACACTTGAAACATACACTTGGAACATGTGCTTTCAGCGCAATGCCACCTTAGTGGTTGGACGAGTGAAAAGGCTCGTCGTGGAGCTCACCGGTGCAGAGGTTGGCGACGGCGCATGCAGCTCAACGGTGCGCCGGCAGAGTGGCGAGCACTATGCGACCCTGGGCGAGCATCTGCTCGGCGATCTGCGGAGCACATGCAGGAGGTCGCTAGCACCCCCGGCGAGTAGGAGGGCATGGTCTTGCGGCTGGTGCAGTGTGGGCCTGCGCATGGACCATGTGGGCAGGGCGAGCATGCACTGTGCAGGGGCGAGCAAAACAGTTGTACTCCCTGGCCAGCGTGGGGCCGACCGGTGGCAGGTCAGCGTGGGGCCTTTGTGACTACGTGGCAGGGGTGCGCATGCGCACGTAGCACAGTTCGCGCGTCGTTCTTTCACGTGGGCCAGAGGGTGCTGCAGGGCCTACACATGTACAGACGTTGACCCGCCGGGCCACTAGGAAACCGTGTCCATTCGTTCGGATGTCCCCAAGATAGCATTACCCCGGAGAGATCAGAATGCGTCTACACAAAAGCAGTATATGGGGTTAGCTAGATGCGCACATGACTAACTCGTACGGGTATGTACGTGTGCATATATACGTGATGAATACATGTATGCCAAGTTGCCAACAAGAGGAGGCATATAAACATGGCAGAGAGTGACAGAGATAGACGCCGGTAGTGGTAGGCGACTGAAGGAGAAGAAAAAGGTCTTCTCTGCTTCCTGATCCCAACAGACTCTCTCTCTCTCTCTCTCTCTGTGGACTGCTGGAAACGTTTTGTTCTGTCCTACTAGTGCTCATCCAATCCAATCGAAGTAAGACACTGGCACAGGAAATCTTTGAAATAGCAAGTTCAAGTCAAGAAATACGAACGGAAATGGCTCTCCTAGCTCTCTCCTCTCTC